GAACCACTGGTGTAGATGGTAGCGTTAGAATACTTAGAATCAAATCACAGGTCTTTACTATAAGATGGGAAACTTTGGACAAGTTATCTAAAGCCTCCATTCCCATCTTATGTTGAGTGAAAGAAAAAAGGTGCATGCAAATTAATAGTTATAATAATAACTAACATTTATTCATTGCTTTCTATATATACAAAGCACTTTACAAACATCTCATTTAATCCTTACAGCCTAACTGGTAATTTTATGTCCTTTCACAGATTGTTGTCGGGTCATAAAATAGAGAGTAAGCCTCTAGGGGCTGCTGCTTGATAGTGGGGATAGATAAGACTGTAGTAATCTATTGTTTATGTTTTGTATGTAAGTATAAATTCTCTTACAAGCCATAATGTCCAAAAGACAACTAACCTGTTGTCAACTAAGATACAAATATACACATGTATATGCATACACAACACATGAATATACATACTGAAAACGAAAATAAAACCATAACTTTTAACCCAGTGCCCTTGATTATTTAAGTCCTTGATTATTAACAAAATATCCTATACCTACTGAATTTAACTAATGAAGTCACTTATGTAAACAGAATTGGTTGATGCTTTCTCAAAATATTTTCTGAAGAGCTATGGCACTAGAGGTCTCAGATCTTTATCTGAGGATAAAGCTTATCCTCACAGAGTTATATGCAGTTTATAATTTTATGACCATATAAGACATTTATATAAAAAGTGATGACATTCTTTAAAACTGATCAACATATTCTCATTGTTCAGTAAAACATTTAATTAATCCTAAAGTTTTACTACTTTCCTGTTTCAAAAATTATGCACAATACACATACTGGTATATAGAACCATATATAGTCTCCTGTCATTTTATAGATACCTTCTTTCTATACCTGTTAAAGCCCAAAATAAAACATTTAAGAATCTTCTGTTATCCTCATTTCTTTATTTTTAAAAAAATATCAGCATAAGAAATCAACATTTGAGTATGGACAGACAAAAGTAAGTTAAGCACATATATTATTCATATTTTATAGTAATTTTAATGATTCTATATTTGTATCCCCCAAAGAAAAACCATAAGCTAGAAATATCAGATATAGCAAATACTCAAACACATTTTTTAGTTTTGTTTTTATCTGGATTGTCATGACATACTCTGGAAGAAACTACAATTTACTTCCTGTTTAAAGCGCTCAGACCATGTATGAATGACCAAGGTAATGATTATTGTATTCTTTTATTTATTTATTTATTTTTATTTTAAAAATATATTTTATTGATTTTTTACAGAGAGAAAGGGAGAAGGATAGAGAGTCAGAAACATCAATGAGAGAGAAACATCGATCAGCTGCCTCCTGCACACCTCCCACTGGGGATGTGCCCACAACCAAGGTACACGCCCCCGACCGGAATCGAACCCGGGACCCTTCAGTCCACAGGCCGACGCTCTATCCACTGAGCCAAACCAGCCATGGCATTATTATTGTATTCTTAAAATATTAATAACTATGGTTAATTAAAACTATATAAATGCTAATTAATATTAAAAGAAATGCAGTAAGTTCTACTGGATAAAACTACATACTTTGAATAAGCAGGAGACTTTTACTACTAATCTGATGTATAAACTAGAATAATTACCTAAATATATAGGCTTTAGATTCCTCATTTCAAGAGAAGAGTTTGTACAAAACCTCAAAGTTGTACTTAAGAATATAAAGTCTTGACTAAGTTAGAGAATATTTAACTACATTTTCTAAATATAAAGAAAAATATGCCATATTGAATGGAAAATTTACACTGGCGGACACTTGACTGGATGGCTGAAAGGAAGCCATTTGGCACTCCACTTATGAAAGGCTAAAAACCTTTAAAGCAGAAGAGTCCAGCTTTTTCTTAAATGTTCTTTTATTAGTCTAACCCAGTGATTTTCAACCTTTTTCATCTCATGGCACACATAAACTAATTACTAAAATTCAGCAGCACATCAAAAAATGTATTTTTTTTGCCACTATGACAAAAAGAAAAGGTATCATTTTGATTCATTCACACTGGATAGCTATTGTTGTGTTGGCTGTTGTCATTTTTTTTATTTGACAATCTAAAGGGAAAGAGGATATTGTATGTTTCAAAAATTCTTGCGGCACATAGATTGAAAATTACCGTACTAGCCCTGGACAGTGTGGCTCAGCTGGCTGAAGTGTAGCCTGTACACCAAAAGGTGACAAGTTTAATTCCTGGTCGGGGCACATACCCAAGTTGCAGGTTCTATCTCCTGTTGGGGTGCATGCAGGAGGTAACAGATCAATGTTTCTCTCTAAAATTGATGTTTCTGTTTTTCTTTCTCTCTCTCCCTTCCTCTCTCTAAAATCAATAAAAGAAGATAAAGAAAGAAAATCGCTGGCCTAACCTATAATAGAGCATTTGATATCTGGCTTGTATTTAGTTATCTGGCTTGTAGTGTCATGCCTGCCACATAATAGTCAGTAAGCATTTCTAGAATAATTAAATAACGTACTTATCTGGGGACTCCCCCCCCCCAATTTCAACAGAATTTGTGCACAGTTTAAAAATATGAGACTTAGACTAAAAAAAATCCCACAGGATTCAGATACTGACACCACCAGTTTCAGCTGTATAACCTTGAGCAAATTACTTAATGTCTCCAAGTCTCGGTAACTTAACCTACTTTATATATTTGTTGTGAGATATTAGTGAAGTTAAATAAAGCTTTGCACATAATATTTGATAAATGGTTGCCATTAATACAAATTATGTGTCCTATCTTTCACACAATTGAAAAAGGCCAGAGACTATTATCATATAATCTCCTGAAACATATTATGATAACTTTGTCAAGTGCTGTAGTATTTTCACACAACCTTCATTCTTCTACAACCACATTCCTCAAACACACAATCTGAACAATAGTAATGAAAGGGATTTCGGGGGAGGAGAGGAGGATAATACAGTTTTTAGTAATTTAGTTAACTTGTATTTTAAAAAATCTTCAGTTTTTCACTACTCTGAATGAATTCTTACTGTTGTTCCCTCTCATTTCTTTTCTCTAAAAAAAATAATTTCATTAATTTAATCCTGTGTAGATTTTAGTTTACTCAGGCTAAAATTATTTGGTAAAACATGTCTCAAAAGAAAAACAAGTAACATTCTTTTCAAATTCCATATAACCGCGTGGGACAATTATATAAAGCATTTGTAAAATTCAGTCTCAACTGCTACTTTCCATTGCAAATTAATTTTCATACCATTATTTTCCAAGTTTGTTCTGACACTTAATTTTTCATCTAACTTAGCTTAAATTGGAAAAAATAAATTGAACGTATTTTTACCTACAAGCAGATGTCATTAACTATAAACAGATTTTTTCACTTAAAAACTGGACCAAAAGGTAGTTATTTTCTTTAAACAAGAATCTTCTATTTCAAAATTTTAAATCTTACATTTTAAATTTGTAATTGATTTTTTTTTTTTTTAGAGAGTGAAAAGAAGGGAGAGAAACATCAATGTGAGGCAAATGTCCATCAGCTGCCTCCTGCACACCCACTATGGGGGAGCACACTGGGGCATGTGCCCTGACCGAGAATGGTATACAGGATGACACCCAGCTAACTAAGCCACACTGGCCAGGGCTAAATGTTATATTTAAAATAAACTAGAACAATAGAATACTTGCTTGAAGAAGAAAACTTGAGATGTCAAGTTTCCAAACAAGTTAATTGTTTTCTTCAAATCATGGTAGTAATGGTCCTTGTAAATTAATAAAGTACACAGAGTTACAATGAATCTAGGAAAAGGAAATGTACAGACTGGGCCTTTCAAAGGAATACTAGTATATATTAGTAAATTCTTTTCCCTAACTCAGTCTATTAGGAAAATCACTAAAAAGAAAGCCCTACAAATCTGACTACTCAATATTCAGTGAATTATTATTCACTCCTATTAGGTAAAGTAGTCTGCTGAAATAAAAGAATTACCTCTGCTGAAAGGACTTTTTCCCAATTTCAAAGAGTTCTCTACTCATAGAATACTGAGATGTATTTAAACCATGCCCTCAAGGGGTTCTTTCAGCCTCAATAAATCAGACAAATACAAAAGGTAAGACCTTGGATTTTCAGAACTCCGATTCCTAGTTTTAAGTAGCCTTAGGACATAATAAAGGCCAAAGACAAGTAACAATTTGTTATTTTTTACAGACATGACTGGAATTAAGTATATGGTCTGATCTTCCCGATCCAGTTCCTTAGTATCCTCACCTTTGTGAAGCTATGCAGTTTCCTCTGTTGTTGCTTAAGCCATAATTTTTATTAAATGATTTTTTCTCTAAATAAAATCCCCCTGAAGGAAATGGGAGTATAAACTGACACAATCTTCCTGGAAGACAGTTGAGCAGTCTACCTCAAAACTGTTTTTAAAAATGTTCTTTTGCCTTTAAGGAATATCTGAAATAAAGTTAAATATATTTCCAAAGCTCTGTCACTCTCTTCAGTTTTTCACTTTCTTAGCCTCTGTTCAATATTTAGATATACTCACAAAACGCAGTAAGGCAAATACACATTGGTATCCCAGCTTAGTCACAGGGTCCTCCTGAATCATCCTGTAGAAAAAGAGAGACTTTCTTGTGCCTTCCAGTCCAATGCAACAAGTTGTTGAACTACAATATGGGTTGAAGCCACAGCTTAATCAGGTCTCTTAAGAATAAGCTAGGGCAGTCCTAACCGGTTTGGCTCAGTGGAAAGAGCGTCGGCCTGTGGACTGGAGGGTCCCAGGTTCGATTCTGGTCGGGGGCATGTGCCTTGGTTGTGGGCACATCCCCGGTGGGGGATGTGCAGGAGGCAGCTGATCGATGTTTCTAGCTCTCTATCTCTCTCCCTTCATCTCTGTGAAAAATCAATAAAATATTTAAAAAAAAAAAGAATAAGCTAGGGCAGTGATTGGGAAAGAGTATGAGTCCAATATTAGAATGGTGACACTGAGAGTATTTGGATGATTCTAGGTATCCTTATCCTATAATTTTTATTAAGTCTCCCTTGCCAACAGAAGCAACCCCTCTTTCCTTGACTGTTGAGAGTAGATCTGCCTTGCTTAAAGGTGTTATGACCTCACCTTGTACAGCCATGCTTCACATGTGGTCTCTTCACTAGAAGCAGACCCTGGCACCTGGTGGTTAACTATTGACCTATCAAATGCAAAAAAGAAGAAAATAAACACACACACACACACACACACACACACACACACACACACCAGAAAACATTAGACATAGCCAACAATGTAGTATACTGTCACCATTTTGCCTTCATGAATAGGTCAGTTTTTTAGCTCTGCGCCATAGTTTAGTCTATAGAGATTTTGTTCATTTTGCCATCTCAGTGTACTGCATGGGCCCCCTCCAGTGATGACATCATGCTAATTGATAGGACTTTGAGAGAGAGAACTAGCAGGTTCCGTAGATACTTTGTAAAGACTCAGATAATGGCAGTGCATAAGAATTTTAATTATCTGACACTTCAGGTGAAGTTTCTGAGGTTACTGCATTTTGAAATATGTTGAGCTATCTCTTCTGAAATAGAAGACAAGCTACTGCATCTTATATTCACTGCTACCAAAAGGAAGTATAGTAACTGGTGGGTCTCTTTGGGCTTGGTTTCAGGTACTACATTTAAGTGTACTGTCACAACCCCTTTTCTGAGTACTTCATAAAATTGCCCTTCGGTTGCTATATGGAGCTTGTTGCAAGCTTTGACAGAAGAATCAGTGAGCCCTCCTCCGTTTCCCCTCCCCCAATTTTGGAGCTAAGCTATATATCCTTTTTGGCAAGCAAATATTCTACTTTTAAAAAAGGACACAGGCTTGCTGTCATATCTGATAGAGGACAAATGTTCAAATACTTGGTACCAGTTACATGAGCCATCTATGCAGACAAGCCTAGTGGACAGCATTCCATCATTAAATAGAAGTTCTATATCTGGGATTGGGCAAGATGCAGGTACTGAAGGCACATATATGTTGCACGAGCAAAAGACTCTCTGTACGGCTCTCTCTCCCCGTGGCTTTATTCCTGGGGAGTTCCCTGTCTTCCTGCGTTACAGATGGTTCTGCACGAGGTGTTGCCACTTGTTAGTCTAATGGACAGACTGGTAGAAAGTGCCAGTTGCCTCCTAATCTCTCTCCCTCTAGCGGTGTAATTGTCACTTTCAGTTGGGTATGGCTAAGTGACTAGGTTTTTGCCAATGATACATAAATGAAATTGTCGTTCTAGGAATTCTCCTCCAATAATCTGTGCCTTTGTCAATTTCTACTTGAAACATGGACATGTTCTTTGGAGCTCTAACAGACATACTAAAACAGGAGGCCCAAACCCAGTAGATAACAGAGTGGCGAACCTGAAGAAGCTGGATCCTGAGCCTATAGCTCTGGCATTAGTTCTGAACTCCTAGACTTCTTTTATATGAAATAAAATAAACTGCTATCTTGCTTACACTTCTATTTTAGGTTTTCTGTCATATGTTGATGAACCTAATCCTAAATGAGAGACTGAATGCCTAGGTGGATAAGATGCCACTCTTTGAAATAGGGAATGCAGGAGGAGAAGATGCCAGTTTAGTTGAAGTGATGGGAAATCCCATTTTGGTCATGATTAATTTGTTGTGTCTGTATAAAGGCTCGATAGGGGGTATAGATGGCATTGGGAGCTTGAGAAAGATTGTTTTATGTAGGAGAAGGCAGTGTTTGTTTTCAGGAGAATGAAACCTTAGGAAAAACAACCTGTGGTAATGTATATTTTAATGATCTTATCACTTGCTTAAATCTTTTTGCAGGACAGAAAGTTTGATTTTTTGAGAAGAGTTGAGCAGAAAACATAAGGCTTGGATTATTTTTACTTTAGTTCTGCTCAAAGGTGAACTTTGAGTTGGGGATAGGAAATTAGAGATGCGAAAAATATGAATTTGTGAAGGGGGAACATTGTAGGTAGAAGACATGCTTTTAAACTCTTTGGGAAGAAGAAATTTGGCATCTGTATTTTTTAAAAAAAATATATTGATTTTTTACAGAGAGGAAGGGAGAGGGATAGAGAGTTAGAAACATCAATGAGAGAGAAACATTGATCAGTTTCCTCCTGCACATTCCCTACTGGGTATGTGCCCGAGACCAGAATCGAACCTGGGACCCTTGAGTCCCCAAGCCGACACTATCCACTGAGCCAAACCGGTTAGGGTTGGCATCTGTATTCTTTAAAAGCCTGATTGATTTGCAAGGCACAGCACAGGTTGCTAGAGACGCTTTAAAACTTAGAGATTTTTCTGCCTTCTTTTTTGACTACGGTTAGGGAATCCATTGATAGGGACACATTGGGTGAGTTTTAATGAGAAAGGTATGTGCATCATGCCTAGTTGCATTACACAACAAATAGGAACCTTTAAGGAAGATGGACATGATGACCTTCACTGTTGTTCAATCAGTAACTTTTCTCCCCAGTTTAAAAACTTTCTATTTTAAAACTCTTATGCTAAACTAAGCACTTGTTCATAATAATCTTAATTAGAGGGATACTTAAAAAATAGTAAAAGTGATACAGTCACAGAAGAATTGTTTTCTATGTTTGCAATTCTCTTTTTATTTTGAAAGGATTGATGTTATAGTTACTGCTAACATATTGGTATTTTAAAGCTGTTCCTATGAAATTTGTCTGAAGTTTTTATGCGGGAATATTACTTTCTGCTGAACTATCAACAGGGGCTAAATATTCTGTGGTAAAATGGTAATATATTTCTATAATACTTTGAAAGGCACAGATATACTGCAGAAATTTAACATCATAACCCCCAGCCTCCCCCACACAAAATAAAAACAAAACTCCAACTGCTTCTTTTTCTTCTCCTCCCTTCCACTCTCCCTCCACCTATGTTCTTTCTGCTCTACTTCTTCATGCCTCTTCCTCAGTTTTACACAGTAAGCATATCTTTGTGATAGTCAGTTTGGTTTAAGAAAACTTTAGCCCTAAAAGATAACAGTGTTTGAGCCGTAGCCTGGAGTTCTTTTCCAGCAGACAAATTATTGAGGTTTAATTTAAATTCATATAATTTAAATGAATATAGTTTGCCTGGTATACACTATCTGGAGGAGATTTTTGTCTAATTTTTAGGTTGACAACCATAGTTTTATGCCCTCTAGTGGTAAGATGTTTGTATTTCATATTTTCTGGTGCTTAGGATGCATAGAATTTCAGAGCCCAGAGGACCGAAGATGACGTTATAGGTGAGAGACTAAGACTCAGAGATGTAAGAGGATTTGCATAAGGTTGTTAGTTAGAGATAGAACTAAGACAAGTCTAATATCTCCTGATTACCAATGTAGTGTTCTTTTTAAAACAAGACTCAGTGGTATATATGTATGTCTGAGGATTTGCTTAGAATAATTTGAAGATATTTACTGTGGGAAGATAGTTATATTTTGGGTTATTTCTATTCATTCATAATTACTGTTGATGTCTTTGTTGTAGTGGTGTTTTGAGAAATAGAAAGACCCTTGGACTTAGTAGAGTGACTGAGATGGGAAGGGAAATGGAAATCATATTTAACTTTGAGAAGATACAATAATTGGCTTTAAGCACTTGAAGCATTATTTGTGGGAGAGGGTTGAGAGCTTATTTTTAGCTGTTACATTGAGAACAGAAAATGTTAAGTATTGTATCTCTGTGCTTGTCCTGGAATGGTCAGTTTTCTTTCAGTAGAATAGGAGGAGTAGGAGAGAGTCAGGGCCTAGAACTAAACATATTTTTTACAGACATATCCAGATTAAGTTCTGTGTTGAAAGAAGAGTTAATTTTGGCAGTTCTCCCTATCTGCCCTGTCACAGTACAGCTACTAACGATTGCAAGTCAGGCAAGCAGAAAGCTTCAAGGGTAGATAGAGACATTTTAAGTGATCACAAAGGTTGTTGGAATAAGGATAGAGGAGGGAGGATATTGCCCTGAGGAGAGGTTTAAGAGCCGAGGAGGGAGGATATTGCCCTGAGGAGAGGTTTAAGAGCCAGTTGACATCATGACACCAGCTATTGGTTGAGAAGCATTTGAGGACTAGATTTAGGGTGACTTGGATTCACATATGTGGTCTGCCACTTACCAGGTGTACCAGTTAATAATGTCGGATTTTGTAATAAAAGAAAACATGATAATTTCAAGAGAAACATCAGAAGTGCTCTATTCAAAGTAATGTCCATCGCTAGCCACATTTCCCCATCTTTCAGGTAATTTGTGGATACCGTCCCAATAGAACTTTTCTTGTTTTGAGGCAAACATTCAGAGACCCACTTTTCCACTTCTTCGTATGTTTTGAAGTGCTGCTCAGAAAGTGTGTGTGCCATCGATTGGAACAAGTGGTAATCTGAAGTGGTAATCTGAAGGAGCAAGGTCTGGTGAATACGGCAGGTGGGTTAATACTTCCCAGGCAAGATCTTATATCGTGTCTTTAACTGGTTTTGAAGTGTGTGATGGTGCATCATCGTGAAGCAAAATTACTTTGCCGTGTCTTCTGGAACATTCTGGTCGTTTCACGATCAAAGTGTGGTTCAAACTGATTATTTGTTGTCGGCAGCGATCAGTGTTAACAGTTTCACCTCGTTTTAGAAGCTCATAATACACCCCACCTTCCTGATCCCACCACACGCAGAGCATTGTCTTCTTTCAGAAGCAATTTGGCCTTGCAGTCGATGTTGATGGTTGACCTGGATCAACCCATGATTTTGTGCATTTGGGATTCTGAAAATAAATCTACTTTTCATTGCTAGTCACAATTTGATGCAAAAAAAGACTAGGGGGTGGGTTAGAGAGCAACCAAAGGACTTGTATGCATGCATATTAGCATAACCAATGGACACAGACACTGGGGCAGTGGGGGCTTGCCCGGGGTGGGAATGGCTGGGTGGGGGTGGGTGTCAATTGGGGAAAAAGGAGACATATGTAAAACTTTAGACAATAAATTATAAATAGACTTT